GGTCCAGTTGGTTCGGAAGAATGGCACCCTATACCGTCTGCCTGATGGTAGGGGATGTGATACATCTCTAATAATCACCTGCCCCTTCCTCACCAATCGGGACTCGCAGGTCGTCGTCATGCTACTTTGCTTATGCAGTTGATTTTGATTATTCACTGACAATGTGAAATACCAGGCAATGGAACAAAAAGTTAATATGCTTTCCACAAAGGAGTGATAGAGAAGACCAATATACAGGTGCTGGTCATATAATTAGAATATCATCAAAAAGTTGATTATTTCAGTAATTCCATTCAAAAAGTGAAACTTTGATATTATATTCATTCAATACACAGAGACTGATATATTTCAAATGTTTATTTCATTTAATTGTGATGATTAAAAAACTGACAACTAATGAAAATCCCAAATTCAGTATCTCCAAAATTTAGAATATTACTTAAGACCAATACAAAAAAAGGATTTTTAGAAATGTTGGCCAACTGAAAAGTATGAACATGAAAAGTATGAGTATGTACAGCATTCAATACTTAGTTGGGGCTCCTTTTGCCTGAATTACTGCAGCAATGCGGCGTGGCATGGAGTTGCTGTGATAGTGGCCTTCAGCTCTTCTGCGTTGTTGGGTCTGGCGTATCGCATCTTCCTCTTCACAATACCCCACAGATTTTCTATAGGGTTAAGGTCAGGCAAGTTTGCTGGCCAATTAAGAACAGGGATACCATGGTCCTTAAACCAGGTACTGGTAGCTTTGGCACCGGGTGCAGGTGCCAAGTCCTGTTGGAAAATTAAATCTGCATCTCCATAAAGTTGGTCAGCAGCAGGAAGCATGAAGTGCTCTAAAACTTCCTGGTAGACGGCTGCGTTGACCTTGGACCTCAGAAAACACAGTGGACCAACACCAGCAGATGACATGGCACCCCAAACCATCACTGACTGTGGAAACTTTACACTGGACTTCAAGCAACGTGGATTCTGTGCCTCTCCTCTCTTCCTCCAGACTCTGGGCCCTGATTTCCAAAGTAAATGCAAAATTTACTTTCATCAGAGAACATAACTTTGGACCACTCAGCAGCAGTCTTGTTCAAGAGTGGCTTGACACAAGGAATGCGACAGCTGAAACTCATGTCCTGCATACGTCTGTGCGTGGTGGTTCTTGAAGCACTGACTCCAGCTGCAGTCCACTCTTTGTGAATCTCCCCCACATTTTTGATTTTTTTGACTCACACGTTTTTCTGTGTCTAGTTCTCTGGTTAAAGCAGAGGTATTATCCATTGTCCGTGGAGTCCTCCCCTACCTCTAGAGAGGACGCGCGGCTGAAGGCTTGCTCATCGCTGTCTGTGCAAGACAGCCTCTCCTATGAAAAAGTTAAGCGCGCCATCCTGCTGGTGTATGAGCTGGTGCCGGAGGCGTACAGGCAATGTTTCAGGGCTCTCACGAAAGGTGTAGGCCAGACTTGCATTGATTTTGTTTTTTTTGTTTTTTTTTTCCCGAGAACAAGGGATTCTCTTTAACCGGTGGTGTGCTGCATGCAAGGCTGTGCGTTATACAAACGAAAGGTCCAGCCACCAGTAGCTCCACTATCAGATGCTAGATACAGATTTATGACAGTTTAGCACCAATTATTGTTCCTATGTATTTATAATCATCTACCATTTCAATACTCTCTCCATCCATAGTAAGTGGTTGGTGGGTGTTGTTAACACTTCTGAAGTCAAAAATGATTTCTTTAGTTTTCTTGGTGTTTAACAGAAGAAAACTTTCCCTACACCAATCCACAAAGTGCTCAACCCACTGCCGGTAGTTGGTTTTCTCGTCTTCTTTAATCAAACCAACCATTGCTGTATCGTCAGCAAATTTAATAGTAACATGCTCAGGTGTGTTGTTTCTACATTCATTTGTATAAAGGGTTAATAAGAAGGGAAATAGTGCCTTGTGGAGCCCCTGTGTTAGTAATAATAGGAGAAGACTCTGCCTCATTTACTCTGACACACTGTACTCGGTCAGTGAAAAAGGACTCTACTCCAAACTGCAGTAGTCTCTCCATCATAATATGGGGTCTAATGGTAGTAAATGCAGATGACAAGTCTGCAGAAAGAACACAAACGTACCCTTTGGGCCGGTCAGATGACAATAAATATTATGCAGCATAAATAACAGAGCATCCTCTGTACTCCTCTCCTTCCTATATGCAAATTGCAGTGGGTCCAATTTATATTGCACTTCCTTAAGGAGATAGTTTAAGACCATCCTCTCAAGACTCTTCATTACTGGTTGATAATCAATTAAGGCCGACGTTTTTGACATTTTTGGTACTGGCACTATAAGTGAAGTTTTCCATGCCCTGGGGATCAGGTGTGAATCCAGGGGAAATTGAAAAAGCTGTCTGAAGGGCTGTCCCCTATACTCCTTCAGAACCCTACCTCTGATCCCATCCTGTCCAGCTGCCTTATGTGGATTGATCTTTTTAAAGATTTTACCCACCGCCTTTGCTGTTATAACTAAGGGCTGGCCATAGTCTAGATGTTGCCTAATCAAATTAAGTTCAGTGCAAAAGTCAGATGTATCAAATCTAGTATAGAATGTATTTAAATCATCAGCAAAAGTCATATCATCTCCATTTTTACTAACATATCTTTTCTTCTCCTCCTTCCCTGTCATTGTGTACACTCTCTGCCATGCCTGCCTTAAATCACTGCCCCTCATCTTCCCCTCTATCTTTAATTTATTTTTGTTTGCAGTCGTTTATTATCGGGTTAGCCGATAGGCTAACGGCAGTGGCACACACAGTGTGGGGAGTGTGTGCTTCATGTGGCTCAGTCAACTGAGACAGGCACAGAGTGTTTATTCCAAAAACAGCTTGCACACAAAGAGCAACAACATTATCCCACACAGTCCCGACCCATAGCATACCAGTCGTTGCTCTGAGCGGCAAGAGTCAGACCAGCAGCAAGCAATGACAATAAGATGAGCAAGAGGGAAATAAGTTAATGGTTTGTGCGAAGACATTATCCACTGGTAATCTTCTGCTCTTTAGACAAGCTCAGTGCGGAAGCACAATGGGAGCCGATGGCCAGGTCTCAAGGTCATATGTCAAAGTCCTCATATACACAAGGTGACGACGTGATAGAGGCCCACACCGCGGGTGGGCGTAGACAAAGCTTTTTTCTGTTCTGCGCGTGCGGACAAACCCAATAGCTCTTGAGGGCGAAGCCTATACGAAGTAGAAAGGGCACTGCACTGGTTTATAAAAATCAGGAAGGGTTTTTTACCTACAGAACTTAAGACGAACGAACAGAAAAACTATGCTGCTATGTTTTGGTGTTTACAGGCGCTGCTTCTGTCCTCTCTGTGTCTTAGCATTGCTAAGTTGCGCCTCTGCACCCACGCACACACACACTGTCAAATCGAAGACAGTGTGCTAGCAAGAGCTCATAACTTTAATAAACTGTCAGAAGTGCAACCATACCGGCCAATGCAAGCTCATTACAACTACAGGGGAGCCCGAGGGAGCTTAGCTACCGTTAATAAGACATCAGCTCCCCTAAAAGCATGATTTGTGATATTGACAGCATGCTTTATTACCATTAATCTCTATATTTCTCTATCATCATGGATCATGTATAGTGTCCAGCCAGAGGGAACGGGTTGTGTCGCTAGTACGACCGTCACGCTGTGAACGGTTCAGGATCGCTCCCTCTGGCTGGATGAATATTATGCCTGATCCATGCACTACTGCAGCTGGGGGCTCCCCGCAGCGCCACGCAAATTTCTAAATTCTTCCCTCTCGCGGAGAAAAGAAAGGTCAGCTGCAGCTGAGAAGCGTAATTGCAGTAAAATGGCTACGATAATAATGATAGGCCTAATTATTATTATAATGAGACAAACATGCCTCATCCTGTCACAGTCAGCCCCATTGACTGGTCATCCACAGGCCTACATGCAAGCATCTATTAATGATTCAGCAGTAAGAATCACTGTCCCCTGTGTGGGCGGAGACAGATATTTTGTTAGAAAAAATGAAAAAGTTACGTCCGGTCAAGCTTTGTAAACAAGGTGGAGCGTTGCCCACGTGAGAAGAGCCTCCGTCAGACCCACTTATACCGTGTTTAGTAGCAAATGGAGGCTGTCAAGTAATAAGGGACATACATACACATACATGTACTGCAAAAATGCATTCATTGTGTATTCCCCCATATTAAATAGGATTATAGTATTTTAACATCCTGCTGTTGCAAGACATTTCTTGTGAATTGTCTCCATAAATAATTGCACATGTCTTTGAATATTTCTAGATGCATATTTGCATGATACATTAATTCATTAATATTGATTTAATTTGTAAAATTTCTTATTGACTTGTTGAAATTAAAACCAAATCACATGATTAAACCCTTTTTCTGATTACAAAATATGCTTAAATTTCAAAACACAGAATTCAGAAATATTAACACTGAAAACACAATCTGGGAAAAAAATAAAAGGGAATCTGGCAAAAAGGACAAGGTGACAAACCTAAACAGGCAAAAATGTGTGCACCATGTCTATGATAACACCACATGTCTGTAACACGCCCGCTCCGCCACACTAGACGTTTTTCACCCTCCCTGAAAAAAATCCTAGGGGAAACATTGAACAAGCCATACAACTATAGTATTTTGCAACAGAAAATTCCGGGCTTCAGCGCATACAACTGTGTTGTTGTTTTCTAAATCTATAAGTGGAGTTTGGTTTGGAGTCTCTGTTGTGCTTGAGCCAGTCTTTTGTAATAAATTGTTATAGATTACCCAGCAGTATAAAGTAACTGATATTAGCCTTTACCAGCTGCAACATTAGTAATGCTTACACATTAATGCATCACTAATTATAATCCAGTAATATAATTTTGCCTTTCTGTATAAAGAGTACTTTAATTTTTGATAGTAAATTTTGATTCTACTTACGTACTTTTACTTAAGCAAGTAAAGAAGAAGTTCTTAAATTGTGAATGCAGAAATTTTACTTGTAACAGTGTATTTTACACTTTTACTGAAGTGAAACACTTATTTTGCCACTGATATAGGCCAATTGTCAATTAATTTACATTACCATCAAACGCTTGCACATCTTTCTTCTGCGTTCTGAGTTAATTGGTGTGATTTTAAAAGTAGCACATATTTTCATACTGCTCTGTGATCTGTAGGTGGGTGTGTACCTAAACGGAACAGAGGACGATCCAGGGTCCGTGGCCGTCTACTTCTACCTGACCTCAGGCCCAAATGACAGCGACCTCAGTGGCCGTGTCCGTGGCAGCAGGCAACTATGGTCCTGATGGATCAGCAGTCTGACATCAGACAGCAAATGAACGTGCATCTAATGGTCACCACTGACCCTGACGAGATTTCCTCTAATGGTAAGAGTACGGTGGATAACTTGAAGTGTAGCAAGCTTGACTATCCACTCATTCTGAATGGATTTTAGTGAGTTGTGTTTGTCAAACAGGGAATGAAAGTTCACCTGTTTCTCTCAGGCACTGAGTACTACTGGGACAATCCCAGGAAGGTCGGCTCTAAAGTGACTGATGAGTCTGATGGCAGCTTTTACTATCGAGGACCAGGCTCTGGAACAACTGCCTTCATCACCCACAGCAGGCTAAAGAGCAGGAACTTCATCAAAGGAGACGATGCCTTCTTCCTCTTCAGTCTGGAAGGTGTGGAGTCTTTCAGACACTAATTAGACAACGAGACAGGACCAAAATATCACACACAGCTATACTGTATATCCAAGATCTCCATCACAGCTGTCGTCTACTTTGTCCTCAGACATATCAGGTCTACTGGTATCTCAGCCTCTTCCCCGCTCTGCAGTCCATGCTGATTCCAGTCTGATGAAGGCTGCAGACCAAGGTGCTCCACAAGGAGCTGCTAATAACCCCACAGTGGTCATAGCGATGGCAGGGTCTGCGGCAGCAGCCATGTTGGTGGTGTTCATGCTGATCGTAGTGAATGCCTGGAGGGTGAGGAAGAGACGGCAGGAGAGTGATGAGGTGTTGATCACAAAGAACATGCCTGGATTCATGGAAGTGAGTTACATTAGATCATTCACATAATTCTAAGTTAGGTTAATAATAATTTACTGTAAACTCTAAAGCAAACTGTAAACTCTTAGTTTCTGTTTGGAAAATCTGAGCTAAATGTCTCTCTGTTTCATTACAGGAGAGAACATCTCTTCTCATCACTCCATGATGTCCCAATCAAAGAAAAAAAATCAGCACTTACCAGAAGAGAGAGGGCATTACCAAATGATCTCTATAATCAGAGTGTCACCTGAATCCTTTTCTTGTATAATCTGAATTTGTTGCTATAAATAAAATATATTCTGACAGCATTCATGTCCAAATCATTTCTTCCCTTTAGCAAAACTTCGTCATTACCAGTCAGTGAGTGAGAGTGATTTATAGTAATGTGGTTACTTTCAAGGGTCCTCAAAGATATAAATTTAAGCTGTAAGGGTAGGGGAGACCGGGTATGGTTGTAACAACGTTTGCTTCAGCAACTATAATTCACTGAATTTTGTATCTAGAGTTCTCAACATTTTATACAAAGTACCCACATTTGTTCACTACAAATGGCACCAATTCAGTCCTCTACAAGAATATCACAGACCTCATGAATTGATGTCAAATGCATTGTGTTCCCTTGTTACAAACTACCCCACTACCGGGGTAGGATAGATACTAAACAAAATACAGTCTTGGTCAAAAAAATTACTTTTTTTACCTCAAAATCTTTTTTTTCTCTATATATTCTGAACATACCTGTTTCCAGACTTGACAAACAGCATGCCTGATTGGGGGGGAAGTAGGTAAATACTGAAATGATCACATGACTCCTATCTAATTGGTGGAATTACTGTTGTTACAACTCTCCCCATGTTACAACCACACCCGGTCTCCCCTACTAAGGCAGCCTGACGATTTATAATTGTAGTCCCCCAGACATCAAAAGCTTCTTGTCACTGGCTTTGTGGCTCCGCTGCATCTTCATCTTAAGCATTTTGGGGCATTATCTCAGCCTACAGAACTGGGATCCTTGAGCCTAAGATCCTCCAGAGCAGCGGTTCCCAAACTTTTTAGGCAACGCTCCCCCTTCTACATCTTGACCGGGTTGCTGCACCCCCAAACCCCTTCTCTCTATAGGTTTACATATATATATATATATATATATATATATATATATATATACATATATATATAAAAAAAAAATTTAAACACACACACACACACACACACACACACATATGTATATATATAATTTTTATTTTAATTTACTTATTTATTTGCTCAATGTCCCTCCACAACACTATCTGATTGGTATATATTTATTACTTTAAAAAGTAACGGTGACAGTGAAACCTTTTCTCATACTGTAATGGTTAAACTTTGCAATCAGTCCACACTCCACCTGCGTGCCGAACCATGCTTAGGGAGGTGGGAGGGTATTAACAAACAATACGTTTCAACCCCCCCCCCCCTCTATTTTTTTACAAATCGCACCCTGTCATAGCCTGATAAACAGATAACATGGACAAAAAAGAGGATCCATATGAGAATTTGTAAGTACAGCACGGGTCACTCAGCCTGAAAGAGAGGGAGAGGGAAAGAGGTGTGTGAGAATCCATTTCCTGTGAGCTAACTAATAATAATAACGTTTTTAATTTAAAATTTAAATTTACAAAGGAAAGTTTTCAATTCAGGTTTTTATTTCATGAAAAATTCCACAAAACAAATAATTGTTATATTTATTACACTACTACACCACCATTACATTTTTCCTGTCGCACACCCCAAGAGGCACCTCACACACCTCCAGGGGTGCGCGCACCACACTTTGGGAATCGCTGCTCCAGAATAAATGTAATACATATTCATAAGACATCAGTTAGGGTTGCAGCTACTATTACCAAGTCCATAATACTGTCTACAGCCCTGCATTCAGCTGGTTCCTGTTCAGTTTTACAATTGAAAGAGATAGGGGAGACTGGGGGCAATTGTAACATCTCAAATTGCACCAATCAGAAACAAGACAGAACCATGAAACTTATCATGAACGCGCTCTGTGACCATCCCTCTCTGCCTGCCGAAGGACAAGCCGATGAGACATTCTTGTCAAAGTTTTTCAGCCAAGAGTCATTTTTGAGCTATGAAAGTAATTTTTTTCATCTACAGTATTTTCTCATACTGTCATAACCATTAATATCTATGAATTTAAATCTGTCTTTTTTTGATCATCATTCTGTTGTCTAACATTTGATATCTTTGTCAAATACAAACTTCATTGTTTCTAGCCAGCAGGGTAGCTTGTCATGGAGGAGTTAGAGAGACCAATTAAAATAGTGTCGGGCTTAGAAACAACATAAAAATATATGTTTGTTTGTGGTCAGTTTAAATATCTATATCTATCTATATATATATATATATATAGATAGATAGATATAGATTATATAATATGTCTTTTGCAGCATAGTCCAATAGCCTTTTCATTCTGGGGACCAGAGTTCAATTCCCACCAAGAGCCAATTGCTCATGCTTTCAATATCTTCAGTGTTTACAAATGAGAAGTTGTCACAATGTTAAATACTCTAATAATAATCTATCAACATATTTATCAAGAGATCAACATTGTTTAGATTTTTGGTTTGTAATAGTAGCATTATATTGAAGCTCAATATAACAAAGAATAGATGATAGCATCTTTCTAATAATGTTCAGTTTAAACATTTATATATATGAATGATCTATAACCTACTTTACTAGGGGCATAGTCCAGAGGTTCAAGTTTTTGCCTCTCAATTTGGGGATCCATTTGATGGGGAGGTCACCTCCGATGATGTGTTGAGGGCAACTCAGTGCTATGACATTTGTCATGTGTCCTTGTACCACTTAATAAAAAAGAAGTTTCAAGCAGTAATATCAATGGATCTTAAATTGTTTTAACTATATCTATATTCTTGGTAGTTTATTTTATGAAGAAATTATGTGTGGTTATGATTTAAATTTCCAAGGGTAAAACCATGCTGAAGCTGCTGTGAGGATTTGCCATTCATCTGCCAGATGTAAATGCTCCGTACTTGTATAGCGCCTTTCTAGTCTTTTCGACCACTCAAAGCGCTTTTACACTACATCTGCATTCACCAGTCACACACATTCATACACACCTAAGTGGAAACTAACATTCACACTCATTCATACACTGGGGGAATAGCCGCCAGGGGCAATTCGGGGTTCAGTATCTTGCCCAAGGACACTTCAACACGCAACTAGGGGGAGCCAGGGATTGAACCGCCGACCTTCCGATTAACGGCCAACCCGCTCTACCTCCTGAGCCCCAGATCAGATGCTGAGTGTAGTTCCAGCAGCAGCCACAGAGAGGCACCACACACAACAGTATTGGTCAGAGTGATTGCAAAAAGGGATTACGTACTGACCCCTGTGTGCAATCTAAACAGTAAATAGTCAAGTCATGTTGTTACACATAACTGTAGAGATGGGAGGTGACTGACAAAGGAAGCTGTGAGCAGACCCACACAATGCTGAACCACAACCAAAGACACTATCATAAAATACAGTCTGCATTATTATCTCTAATTTCTAGTTTAAAGTTTAACTTACTCTTGTAATCTGCGTCCAATAAAACAGTAGTCATACACTGTTGGCTGAATTTTTAAACAAATGCCAGGTTTAATGTGAAAGGACTCAAAAAAGACTTGAAATGAAATAATAAACTATATAAGGGGTCCGAAAATAAGTTTGGCATCGGGCCAATTTGTTTTCAATGTTTAGCTCAGTACTGTGCGAGACTCCCGTTAGGAAGATTGGAAGATCACTTCCAATTAACTGCGTATATTTTTCCTTCCTTGTTACTTGATTATAAGGACACTTTTGCACATGCTCACAATAAGGCACGTGCTGCAGTGTGTGTGCGCGTTTCCGCATTCATAAACCTATGGACGCTTATTTTCATTTCCCTGAGGAAATTCTAAAACTAATCAGACATCAGCTCCCCTAAAAGCATGATTTGTGATATATTGGGGGGTCTCTAAAATATTGACAGCATGCTTTATTGACATTAATCTTATCGTGGATCATGCAGAGCGTCAGACTTCATCCCGCCAGAGGAAACAATCACTGACCGGATATCCACAGAGGGGGGTTTCAAGATGGCGGAGTGAGTGGCAACATTTTGGCAGGGTCCGATTAAAATTCCTTAATTAGTCCTTGAAATGTGATTAACCAATGCAATAACCCTCGATTTCAAGGCTGCTCGAGTAAGTGTCAGTACTGCAGTGACAAAAGTAGGATACCAAAACATTTTGGGATCTTGTTCCTTGTTCTGTTTGCAACAATGTCGGACCACAACTACAACTTGGAGATGCTCCACGAGGCACGTGATGATATCGACATCGATGAAGAATTAGGGGCGGTCGGTCTCTCCGCCAAGGAAGCCAAAATTAACAAAGACCATACACCAATTAAAGAGCCAAATCCCAAAAAACAGAAATACAGAAGTGGAGTTGAGGACGAGAACACAGGCGCTGCAATTCTTCAAGCAGTACAAGCTCTGACCCGAAAAATGGACGAACAGACTGAACTTTTGAAAAGCTTTGACAGACGTATTGAAGCGAACACAACTGCGACAAATAAAAACCGGGAAGACATCGGCACGCTCCAGGAAAGAGTTGACGACCTTCAGAGGAATAATAACCTCGTTAAAGAAGCATGTGCTGAGCAAACCCGATACAAAAGAAGGTGGAACCTGAGGGTTATTGGTCTCCCAGAAAAGGACGGAGAGGACACGAGAGAAGTCATCCTCGGGATACTCACAAGAGTTGTCCCAATGTCTGTGGAACGGCTGCGAGACACAGTTGACACTGTTCACCGGCTGGGAAGAAGAGGGGACGGCGTTACCTCAAATGTCACGTCGAGAGCGATCATTATTCAGTTCGGGATGAGAACAGTGTGGAAGTTTGGAAGAAGTCGAAAGATGCAAGGGTGTGTAAGGACATGCACATACGTTTCAAGGAGGACTTCTCGAAGGAAGACCGGGAGGCACGTACGAAACTGTGGCCATTAGTTCAAGAAGCCAGAAAAAGAGGTAAAAGAGCATTCTTGAAAGAGGGATTCGCCCTGATTGATAACCGAAAAGTAGTCCCTGACTAAATCATTTCATGTGAATGGCTGATTGATGCCCAGCCTACACTAACCTCTGACTGAGGTGTTTTGTTTCATGGATCGGTTATGTGACTGAACGGACGTGTTGATCAGCTGATCACAACAGGGTTGATAGAGGAGAGAGGGAGAACATCCCTTGTTAATTGTTAGTTAGGGC